AATAAAATATTACTGTTATAATAATATAAAAATATGTTTACAGCAAGTCATATAATATATCTACATAAATAAAATGTGTTTACATGAAAAATAATATAATAAAAATAAAAATATGTTTACATAAAATAATATGTTACAATAATATAAAAATGAGTTTACATAAAACAATACTATCTTATAATAAAAATATAAAAATATGTTTACATTATACATTTTTATAATAATATAAACATATGTTTACATAAAACAATAACATGTTATAATAATATAAGAATGTGTTTACATGAAATAATATAATAATGCTATACTAATATAAAATAATGTTTGCATAAAATAATATAATACTACAGTATGTTAGAATATTATATTACTTTGTTTACATAAAATAACATAATAATTTATTATAATAAAAAATGTGTGTTTAGATGAAACAATATAATAATATGCTATAATAATATAAAATATGTTTAATAAAAAAAGTAATAATACAGTATGTTCTAGTAATATAAACATGCATGTATATAAATTAATATAATAGCATGTTATGATATGTTCATGTCATTGTTTTTATACATATTTGGAGAGTTGCCTTTTATTTTATTATTTTTGTTTTGGTAGAATTTTATAAAATATTATTTTTACATAACAATTTTTTTTTTTTCGTTACCATTACAGTCTAATTTTAATGCTGTTTATATGACCTCATTTAATGGGATTTCTATACTGGCGGCTTCAGTTCATATATTTCATTTAAAAAAAAAAATATATAGAACTGTATTTTTATATACAGTCCATAGACCGTTTTATACACATAATATTTTATATTCATTCGATATTTTGCAATATTTTATATATCGTTTTTATGGCCCTTTTTATTTCAGAGTCGTATGGAGAATTTATTGAGTGATTACAAATATGCCGCAGTCTGAGAGAGTAAAGAGCGGCTTAGAAGAGTCCTTAAAATAGATGTCAACCCGATCACTAAAATCTCCTTTCAGTTTTAACATGCTAATATAATTTTGAAATACATTTTCAGCTTTTATTAAAAAAAAAAAAAAAAAAAAATCCCTGGTGATCCTGTCCTTGTCCAGGCACTTCCTGTTATAGGGTGACAACGCTCTGTCCCTGTCTTCTAATTGCGCTCCTCAGTTGTCACCCTCTCGCATGGTCTTCTCATGAAGCGGCCATTTCAAACCACAATAAGCAGGCAAGGGTCCATTGTTGTCACCATCAGGTAACCGGCTTTGAGATATGCCATGGACTGCATGTAGGCATGAAGGGGCTGAGGGCAGCTTTAAAAATTTAGGATTTCCTGCCTCCATTGGACGATTTTCCCTCACCTCATGTTTTTTTAAAAAAGGGGAATTCCTGTCCCCGTTGGAAGATTTTACCTTACCTTTTGATATGGGGACAACTCTAACATGTTGGATTCCCTATCCCCATTGGAAGATTTCCCCTGACATCTTGTTCTGGAGGCAACTCTAAAAATTCTGGACTTCCTGTCCCCATTGGAAGATTTCCCCTGCCTATTGTTCTAGGGACAATTCCAAAATTCTGGACTCCCTGTCCCCATTGCAAGATTTCCACTTTTTTCTTGTTCTGGAGGCAACTCTAAAAATTTTGGATTTGTTGCCCTCATTGGAAAGTTTCCTTTACCTCTTGTTCTAGGGACAACTCCAACATTTTGGATTTCCTGTCCCCATTGTAAGATTTCCCCTTACCTCTTGGTCTAGGGACAACTCTAAAATGTTGGATTTTTCCCCATTAGATGGTTTCTTAACCTCCTGTCCAGGGACAACTCTAAAAATTTTGGATTTCCTGTCTCCATTGGAAGGTTTCCCTAACATCCTGTTCTAGGGACAACTCTACAATTTTGGATTTCCTGTCATCATTGTAAGGTTTCCTAACCTCCTGTCCCAGGGACAACTCCAACATTTTGGATTTCCTGTACCCATTGGAAGATTTCCCTTTATCTCTTGTAGGTAGGTACAACTCCTGTCCCCATTGAATATTTACCCCCACCTCCTGTTCCAGGGACAACTCTAAAACTTTTGGACTTCCTGTCCGTATTGGAAGGTTTCCTAACATCCTGCCCCAGGGACAACACTAAAATTTTGGATTTCCTGTCACCATTGGAAGATTTCCCCTTACCTCTTGTTCTGGAGGCAACTCTAAAAATTTTGGATTTTTACTGTCCCCATTGGAAGGTTTCCTAACTTCCTGTCCCAGGGACAACTGTAAGATTTTGGATTTGTTGCCCTCATTGGAAGGTTTCCTTTACCTCTTGTCCCAGGGACAACTCCAACATTTTGGATTTCCTGTCCCCATTGGAAGATTTCCCCTTACCTCTTGATCTTGGTACAACTCTAAAATTTTGGATCTCCTGTCCCCATTGAATATTTACCCTTACCTCCTGTTCCAGGGACAACTCTAAAAATTTTGGACTTCCTGTCCCCATTGGAAGGTTTCCCTAACGTCCTGTTCTAGGGACAACTCTACAATTTTGGATTTCCTGTCCCCATTGGAAGGTTTCCTAACCTCCTGTCCCAGGGACAACTCTACGATTTTGGATTTACTGCCCTCATTGCAAGGTTTCCTTTACCTCTTGTTCAAGGGACAACTCCAACATTTTGGATTTCCTGTCCCCATTGGAAGATTTCCCCTTACCTCTTGGTCTAGGTACAACTCCTGTCCCCATTGAATATGTATCCTCATCTCCTGTTCAAGGGACAACTCTAAAAACTTTGGACTTCCTGTCCCCTTTGGAAGATTTCCCCTTCCTTCTTGTTCTAGAGGCAACTCTATAATATTTGGACTTCCTGTCCCCATTGGAAGATTTCCCTAATGTCCTGTTCTAGGGACAACTCTAAAATTTTGGATTTCCTGTCCCTGTTGGAAGGTTTCCTAACCTCCTGTCCCAGGGACAACTCTAAGATTTTGGATTTGTTGCCTTCATTGGAAGGTTTACTTTGCCTCTTGTTCTAGGGACAGCTCCAACATTTTGGATTTCCTGTCCCCATTAGAAGATTTCCCCTTACCTCTTGGTCTAGGTACAACTCTAAAATTTGGGATTTCCTGTCCCCATTAAATATTTTCCCTCACCTCCTGTTCCAGGGACAACTCTAAAATTTTGGATTTCTTGTCCCCATTGGAAGATTTCCCCTTTTTTCTTGTTCTGGAGGCAACTCTAAAAATGTTGGATTTCTTCCTTCTACTGACCACAGTCCGGCCCCCCTAAAGTCTGAAGGACAGTAACTTGGCCCTTTGTTTAAAATGTTTGGTGACCCCCTGGTGCAGAGTACTTGTTGCTATTTTTCTGCAACCAAGTCCTTGGTTTTGTTGCCACTTTGTAGAAATGACTTGTGTATGACTTGATTGGGGCACCTGGATCCCAGTGGATTCCACCAGGAATGAGCTCCAAGAGAAGATTTTAATGGGACATTCAACATATTTTTCATTTGCTGCTTTCAGTTTCCGTGAATGACCACCATTTCTGGTCCTCAGGCTCCTCCATCTTGTGGTTTCCATAGGTGACCACCATTTTTGGTCCTCAGGCTCCTCCATCTTCTGGTGTCTGTAGTTGACCATCGTTTCTGGTCCTCAGGCTCCTCCATCTTGTGGTTTCCGTGGTTGACCACCGTTTCTGGTCCTCAGGCTCCTCCATCTTGTTGTTTTCATGGGTGACCACCATTTCTGGTCCTCAGGCTCCTCCATCTTCTGGTGTCTGTGGTTGACCATTGTTTCTGGACTCAGGCTCCTCCATCTTGTGGTTTCCATGGTTGACCACCGTTTCTGGTCCTCAGGCTCCTCCATCTTTTGGTTTCCGTGGTTAACCACCGTTTCTGGTCCTCAGGCTCCTCCATCTTGTGGTTTCCATGGTTGACCACCGTTTATGGTCCTCAGGCTCCTCCAACTTGTGGTTTCCGTGATTAACCACCGTTTCTGGTCCTCAGGCTCCTCTATCTTGCTGGTTTGTGCTTTTTCAGAGGAGTTTTGGACCTCTGGACAAAACTTGTCTGCTGCAAAATTTGTGCATTGAAAAGACCTCGATGATACAGGATGGCCACCCTGTGTCTCACTCTTGCCCTGGTGTAAGGTTTGAAGGTTGAGCCACCACATTTATTGCAATCTTTTTTAGTACGGCTGTCCCTTGACCAGTTTTAGTCCCTCAACCCATCTGTTTAGAGCTCACATAAAGTGGAGATATACTCACCTCCATTCCAGCAATGTGGTGACACGTGAGCATCCTCACCAGCTAATGACATCCTGGGTTGGTCTTCTTCTGGGTTCCGACTTTTGGCCATTTTCATTGGTTGGTCCGGGATGACATTACTCCTGCACATGCACAGGAGAACATTCATCTCTGCAGAATAAATTGCACACAAACCCGGCACAGTGTGCGAGGTGGACAAGCAGGTGAGAATACCTTCATGCAGAAGTGTGTGGACCTCTGTAGATACTTGACTGCTGCAAAATGTAAGCTTTGGGAAGACCTTGCTGATACAGTATGACCACCCGTGTCCTGCTGCAAGGCTCCTTTTGGCCATAGTGTAAAGTTTGAGGGTTTAAGCCACCCCATCTACGGCAATCTTTTTAGCATGGTTGCCCCTTGCCCAGTTTTTGTCCCTCAACACATCTTCATAGAGGTTACTCGAGCCCTGGGCTATATACCTTCAAAGAGGTCACAAATCTTGATGGGAATGGAGTCTATTAGTATGTTATGCAGGCCATAGACGGTCCATTTATCGGACGAAAAACAAAACATTGGTCGTTCTGTTGCCACCAAGGATTACGAAAATCGGCCGTTTTTCGTAAATTTTCCAGCATGACCGATAAAAGAAATGAGGAGGAGCCACGAAAATCGGCCGATAAAATTGCCCCGCTAACGGTGCGAATATCGGCCGATTATTCTTTCGGACGAAAATTCAGCCGATAAATGAACTGTCTATGGCCTGCATTAGTTTCCTTCTTAAAGCATATTCAGATACAGTGGTGGTCAGTGGGAAGAATGTCCCTTACATTGGTGGTCAGTGGGAAGAATGTCCCTTACATTGGTGGTCAGTGGGAAGAATGTCCCTTACATTGGTGGTCAGTGGGAAGAATGTCCCTTACATTGGTGGTCAGTGGGAAGAATGATCCTTACATTGGTGGTCAGTGGGAAGAATGTCCCTTACATTGGTGATCAGTGGGAAGAATGTCCCTTACATTGGTGATCAGTGGGAAGAATGTCCCTTACATTGTGATCAGTGGGAAGAATGTCCCTTACATGTGATCAGTGGGAAGAATGTCCCTTACATTGGTGATCAGTGGGAAGAATGTCCTTTACATTGGGGTCAGTGGGAAGAACACCCCTTACATTGGGGTCAGTGGGAAGAATGTCCCTTACATTGGGGTCAGTGGGAAGAATGTCCCTTACATTGGGGGTCAGTGGAAGAACACCCCTTACATTGGTGGTCAGTGGGAAGAATGCTCCTTACATTGGCGGTCAGTGGGAAGAACGTCCCTTACATTGGGGGTCAGTGGGAAGAATGTCCTTTACATTGGGGGTCAGTGGGAAGAACACCCCTTACTTACATTGGGAAGAATGTCCCTTACATTGGTGGTCAGTGGGAAGAATGTCCCTTACATTGGGGGTCAGTGGGAAGAATGCCCCTTACATTGGTGGTCAGTGGGAAGAATGTCCCTTACATTGGTGGTCAGTGGGAAGAATGTCCCTTACATTGGGGTCAGTGGGAAGAATGTCCTTACATTGGGGGTCAGTGGGAAGAACACCCCTTACATTGGCGGTCAGTGGGAAGAATGTCCCTTACATTGGTGGTCAGTGGGAAGAATGTCCCTTACATTGGGGTCAGTGGGAAGAATGTCCCTTACATTGGTGGTCAGTGGGAAGAATGTCCCTTACATTGGGGGTCAGTGGGAAGAATGTCCCTTACATTGGGGGTCAGTGGGAAGAATGCCCCTTACATTGGGGGTCAGTGGGAAGAATGTCCTTACATTGGTGGTCAGTGGGAAGAATGTCCCTTACATTGGGGTCAGTGGGAAGAATGTCCCTTACATTGGTGGTCAGTGGGAAGAATGTCCCTTACATTGGGGGTCAGTGGGAAGAATGTCCCTTACATTGGGGGTCAGTGGGAAGAATGTCCCTTACATTGGGGGTCAGTGGGAAGAATGTCCCCCTTACATTGGGGGTCAGTGGGAAGAATGTCCCTTACATTGGGGGTCAGTGGGAAGAACACCCCTTACATTGGCGGTCAGTGGGAAGAATGTCCCTTACATTGGGGGTCAGTGGGAAGAATGTCCCTTACATTGGTGGTCAGTGGGAAGAATGTCCCTTACATTGGTGGTCAGTGGGAAGAATGTCCCTTACATTGGTGGTCAGTGGGAAGAATGTCCCTTACATTGGGGTCAGTGGGAAGAATGTTCCTTACATTGGGGGTCAGTGGGAAGAATGTTCCTTACATTGGTGGTCAGTGGGAAGAATGTTCCTTACATTGGTGGTCAGTGGGAAGAATGTCCCTTACATTGGTGGTCAGTGGGAAGAATGTCCCTTACATTGGGGGTCAGTGGGAAGAATGTCCCTTACATTGGTGGTCAGTGGGAAGAACGTCCCTTACATTGGCGGTCAGTGGGAAGAATGTCCCTTACATTGGCGGTCAGTGGGAAGAATGTCCCTTACATTGGTGGTCAGTGGGAAGAATGTCCCTTACATTGGGGGTCAGTGGGAAGAAGACCCCTTACATTGGTGGTCAGTGGGGAGAATGTCCCTTACATTGGGGGTCAGTGGGAAGAATGCCCCTTACATTGGTGGTCAGTGGGAAGAATGCCCCTTACATTGGTGGTCAGTGGGAAGAATGTCCCTTACATTGGTGATCAGTGGGAAGAATGTCCCTTACATTGGTGGTCAGTGGGAAGAATGTCCCTTACATTGGGTGTCAGTGGGAAGAATGTCCCTTACATTGGTGTCAGTGGGAAGAATGTCCCTTACATTGGTGGTCAGTGGGAAAATGTCCCTTACATTGGTGGTCAGTGGGAAGAATGTCCCTTACATTGGTGGTCAGTGGGAAGAATGTTCCTTACATTGGTGATCAGTGGGAAGAATGTCCCTTACATTGGTGGTCAGTGGGAAGAATGTCCCCTTACATTGGTGATCAGTGGGAAGAATGTTCCTTACAAATTGGTGATCAGTGGGAAGAATGTCCCTTACATTGGTGATCAGTGGGAAGAATGTCCCTTACATTGGTGGTCAGTGGGAAGAATGCCCCTTACATTGGTGGTCAGTGGTGTTCGTCATGAACCTATGCAGGAACTATCAGTTGGATGGTGACTCAGCCAAAGGTCAAGGACCCCCTAGCACCCTCTTGAGGAACCGTGGAATTCCATGGAACCCGGTTGAGAATGGCTGATCTAAGGAACTCTACCTTCTGCTCTTCAAAACTATGAGAAGTCCCTCACACATTGTCCAGTCCGTCGGTCATTGGCAGGACATGAAGACAATCTTTAACAAGCTCAGGCTGTGGACACGAACGTTGCGTGACAAGTCGCACCCCATGTTTTTCAATGACAACCGTCTAAAATACGTGCGACTTAAAAGTTACAGCGACTTTAAAAAAAGGTTCCCGCACTACTTCCGCCTTTCATGTAACTTGAGTGCCATAGACCCCTCAAAAGTCGCACCTGTGTGTTGTGCAACGGTCGTCGATTTTATCATCGGTCAAAGCCAAAGTTGCATCCAAGTCTCACCCATTCAAAGTTGCGTCAAAGTTGCACTCCAAATCGAACTACTTTGGAGTCGCACTAGTGTCAATGGAGCCTTACTAAGCATGGTCTAAAAGGCCTTTCGTAAAAATCAACCCTTTTGTCTCTTAGTCTCCGTTCACACTTGTGCGACTTCAAAATCGTGCAATTTTCATTGCAACTTCACAGTGTGACTTCATGCGACTTTGATGCAGCTTTGGATGAGTGCGACTTTGGGTACAACTTTGACTTTGACCAAGGCTGATTGATTGTTTGTTCTCTACAAAGTCGCACATGTATCATTCAGGTTTACGTTGAAGTGTATGGCCCTCAAGTTGGACCGAAGCAGTGCAGGAATGACTTGGAGTCGCACAGATGTGAATGGTACTTATTGGGAAACATAGGGTGCGTCCAGGGGTGCACTGACAACTCATGGGGCCCCCGGGCAATAGGGGATCATGGGGCCCCTGTGTCCTCGCCCACACTCAAACCACACCCAAAAAAGCTTATGAAAAGGTACCAGGGGCATCTCATGCGGTCCCCTACTGACCCCGGGCCCTCGGGCAGTGCCCGAGTTCCCAAATGGTCAGTCCGCCCCTGGGTGCGACTTGCCACACAGCTTTGGACCCAAAAGTCGCTTGGCAAGTCGCACAAGGGTGAAGGGGCTCTTAGTAACCACTACTATTTGCACTGAAAGTGGGGGAAAATGAAAAAAATTGGGGGGTGTCACCAGGACAGGAACAATGGGACATCCCACTGACAGCTGTCCAGTGATGAGCGATTTCTTCTAATTTCCTGTTGTGTCATCAGGACAGGACGTGAAGGGGAATCTATCGAGCGGGACAAAGCAACAACAACAAGATTTAGTCACCGGTCACACCTCTGCGATTTAAAATCGTACGATTTATGTGCAATTTCAGCTCGATTTCAGGTGCGATTCCCGACGACTTTACTGCGACTTGCGAAGATTTTCAACCATTTCTTGCAGTTTGCAGTGCGATTTCATTATACTCTATGCAGGTGAAATCGCAACAAAACTGCAGAAAAAAGTCATGTCAGAAATCGCAGGGCAGCAAATCAAAAATGTTAAAGACACTGACATTCGTTAGCTGCGATTTTAAGTGCAATTTCAATTCCCAAATCAACCCCCGATCACATCGGCTGCGATTTGGCATGTGATTTGCATGCCAGGCGACTTGCAAATCGTATGCCAAGTCGCACCTTATTGTCCGCAATTACAGCGGTCATATCGGTGAGGTTCCGACCAGGGGCAGACTGACAACTCATGGGGCCCCCGGGCAATAGGGGATCATGGGGCCCCTGTGTCCTTGCCCAAACTCAAAAAAGCCTATGAAAAAGGTACCAGGGGCATCTCATGGGGCCCCCTACTGACCCCAGGCCCTCAGGCAGTGCTCGAGTTTCCAAGTGGTCAGTCCACCCCTGGTTCCGACTTGGTTGGAGCCGCACCGATTTCAAAAGTAGTACATGCACTACTTTTGGTGCGATTTGCATAGATATCGGTTTCAGATGCAGGGGCGGACTGACCATTTGGAAACTCGGGCACTGCCCGAGGGCCCGGGGTCAGTAGGGGGCCCCATGAGATGCCCCTGGTACCTTTTTCATAGGCTTTTTTGAGTTTGGGCAAGGACACAGCGGCCCCATGATCCCCTATTGCCCGGGGGCCCCATGAGTTGTCAGTCTGCCCCTGGTCAGATGTCTTGCAAATCGCACCTGAAATCGGCACGTCCCGCGACTTTGAAATCGCACAACTTCACTGTAAGTCGCACGATTTGAAAGTCGGGTTTGACGTGAACGGGGTGTTAGTGCCCGGTCACACCGGCGCAATTTCAGATGAAATTTGTGAATTAAAATCGCACCTGAAATCGCATCTAATGAATGTGAATGGTGGCGTCTTCATATGTGCCATTTTGCTGCAGCGCGATTTCTAAAGCAGTTCTCTCTTGACTTTTGCAGCGACATACACAGAATATAATGGAAATCGCACTGCGAAACGCAAAAAGTCGCTGAAAATCTTCACAATTAGCATAAGTCTTCAGAAATCGCACCGGAAATAGCGCACAAAACGCATGATTTTAAATCGCAGCGGTGTAACCTGCGACTTGGTCACACTGCTGCGATTTGTGAGCGATTTCAGGTGCGATTTCTGAAGACTTTATTGTGACCCGTGAAGATTTTCAACGACTTCTTGCGATTTGCAGTGCGATTTCCGTTATATTCTGCGCATGTGAAATCGCAACAAAACTGCGGAAACTTTAGAAAGCGCGCCGCAGCAGCAAATCGCACATTAACACCCCGTTCACATCGGTGCAACTTGCCATGCGATTTGCATGCCCCGCGACTTGCAAATCGCACGCCAAGTCGCACCGTATTGTTCCGTAATTGGAGCGTCATATCGGTGCGGTTCGGACTTGGACTTTTTTTTTTCTTACGCTGTCCCTTTATTTATGCATTCCTTTTGGATCACTTTTATTTTTGATCATTTGTGTAAAAAAAATTGCATCCGCCCCAAATCGAATGTGACGTCATGACGTCGTTCTGGTCCTCCAGCATCATAGAGGGGATGAGACACCATAGAGTCTCTCATTGCCTCTGGGAGCAAATTTATCATCTCTTTTTTAAATCATTGCAAATCGAATTTCTTATTTTTCTTTTTTCTTTTTCAGTTTTTTTTACATTCTTTCCATGATATGAACCCCTTAATGACAGGCGGCCCACAGACCGTTATCGTCTGGAGCAATTATTTTACGACTTGGCCTATCGTGCCAACAACAGGACCCTTCGTCATCAACGTTTGCGCTGTGCGGATGCCTCGGAAGATCGAACGTTACCGGGCTATTTTGTGTCCCGGTCGAATGTTCTTCTTTTATAGGAAAAGAGTAAATCAAGAAAATACCACAATATGGCCAGTAGGTGGTGCTGATGATCATAGGAAAAGAAAAAAGGAATTGCTAAAAAAAAAAAAGAATCGGTATGCCGTGTAAGGACATCAGTGTCCTCATCAGAGTGCCCCCTTATATCAACTGATCCCATCAGAGTGCCCCCTTACATCAAGTGATCCCATCAGAATTTCCCCTTACATCAATTGCCCCTATCAGAGTGCCCCCTTATATCAACGGTCCCCATCAGAGTGCCCCCTTACATCAACTGTAACCACCAGAGTGCCCCCTTACATCACGGTCCCCATCACTGTGCCCCCTTATATCAACTGTCCCCATCAGAGTGCCCTCTTAGATCAACTGTCCCCATCAGAGTGCCCCCTTACATCAACTGTCCCCATCAGAGTGCCCCCTTACATCAACGGTCCAAATCAGAGTGCCCCCTTATATCAACGGTCCCTATCAGAGTGCCCCCTTATATCAACTGATCCCAGCAGAGTGCCCCTTATATCAACTGATCCCATCAGAGTTTCCCCTTACATCAATTGCCCCCATCAGAGTGCCCCCTTATATTACGGTCCCCATCAGAACATGTCAACCCCATCAGAGTGCCCCCCAACTTACATCAACTCAGAGTGCCCCCATCAGAGTCAGAGTGCCCCTTACATCTACTGAGTTTCCCCCCACCAGAGTGCCCCCTTATATCCCCCTTAGTGCCCCCTTGCATCAACTGTCCCATCAGAGTGCCACCTTACATCAACTGCCCCCATCAGAGTGCCCCCTTACATCTACTGATCCCACCAGAGTGCCCCCTTACATCAATGGTCCCATCAGAGTGCCCCCTTATATCAACTGATCCCATCAGAGTGCCCCTTATATCAACTGACAGAGTGCCCCTTATATCAACCCATCAGAATTTCCCCTTACATCAATTGCCCCTATCAGAGTGCCCCCTTATATACGGTCCCCATCAGATCAACGGTCCCCCATCAGAGTGCCCCCTTATATCAACCCCTCAGAGTGCCCCCTTACATCAACAACAGAGTGCCCCCCATCACTGAGTGCCCCCATCAAGGGTCCCCATCATCCCTTAACTGTCCCCATCAGAGTGCCCCCTTACATCAACTGATCCCATAGCCCCCCACTGTCCCCATCAGAGTGCCCCCTTATATCAACTGATCCCATCAAGTGCCCCCACATCAGTCCCCATCAGTGCCCCCTTACATCAGTGTCCTCATCAGAGTACCCCCTTACATCAACTGTCCCCATCAGAGTGCCCCTTATATCAACTGTCCCCTCAGAGTGCCCCCTTACATCAACTGTCCCCATCAGAGTGCCCCCTTACATCAGTGTCCTCATCAGAGTGCCCCCTTATATCAACTGATCCCCATCAGAGTGTGATCCCATCCCCCTTACATCAACTTATATGTCCCCATCAGAGTGCCCCCTTATCAATTACAT